TACTGACCAAGACCTAAAACTGCCACCTGAGACCCTAAATAGTGTCCCACCGCCAAGATACCTACAGCTGAACATTGTCTCCTACCGAGAAGGACTAGACCCTGCCACCCACCCTGAGGCCCTGGTGAGTTTTGTGGCCCATCCAAGCACTGCTGGGGGAGGAGTTCGAACCATAGGATGGTCGTTACCAGACTTAGGGTATACACCTCCAGGTCCACCTTCACAGATCTGCCCTGCTTGGGCATCCACACACCTCATCACATTCTTCATTCTTAGGTCCCCAGACGTGTGAAGCAACACGGATTGTGCCCAGTGAGTGATGCCATGCCCCAGACTTCTGTGCTGGGCACACCTGCAGCAAAGTCAAAGGGAAAACAGTAAATGAGAATGCAAAGAGTGACCTGAGAATTCCCTTGTATCACCACCACAGGCCCCAATGGCCTTAAGGAGGACAGCGTCTGCACTGCGTCGGGTGCTAGTTCATGGAAACGCATGATTATCCAACAAGATGTGAAGGGCAACGGCTTTGATTGGGGAGGAGGTCTTAAAAACAGGCAAACCGGAACAGGAAAGCAGCAACTGTTGTGAAAACCAGCCTTGAGGTATTTCCTGCCTCCCTGTGGGATAGGCTTCCAACGGAGGCATCATGGCTAGAAGAGAAACAGGGGAGGGGGCTAGGGAGGAAAATGGGGGGGGTGTTACTTCTGCACGGTGCCTCTTGAGTGCTGGGCTCCTGCCTTCGATGTTCCTTGGGCCACTTCTAGATCCTTCTGTCCATTCTCATGCCTTGCGCTGTGAAAGCTGCGAGAAGAGGGCCTTGCCCGAAAACACTTGGTCTGGGGGTGCGAGCCACTGCAGTACTCGCACACATGGTTAAAACACCTGTCCCATGTACAGGAGCCATTGTTAAACTCCCCACATTCCCTGTGGGGCACCTTAGTAGAGGGCTTGGAGGACTCAACTCCCTGGGCCCTCTTCTCAAAATGGGGAGCTACCACTTCAGACCACAAATTGCTGTCCTTAATGTCCCAGCGAGCCTTGGGGTCAGTGCTGCTGCTGCACTACCTCACATGCCAGCTGTTAGGCAGGGAGGCTGAACAGCCTAAACAAAGCCCCACTGTGCTTCCCGTCTCTTCAGAGTTTCCTCTGCCCTCACTGACCTCTTCGGGCTCTGGGGAGAGTCTCCTTGTGAGTAACAAGCAGTGCCAGATTTACATATAAACTAAACAAGCTATAGTTTAGGGCCCCACTCTCTTGGGGGCCCCAAAAAAAATTAAAGGAAAAAACAACTGGATGTACATTTCCAAAATATAAGATAAAAAAACCAAATAAAACTTACATAGAGCAACAGTGGCAAATGGCTTTAGATACCTATTAGGTCCATAAATTACCATATAGCATATATCCAACACAAAAAATAGCGACAATTTGTTGTTGACAAAGGACAGCTTGACATATAAAGGGCCCCATTACCTTCAGTAACTTAGGGCCTCATTAAACCTAAATCCGGCCCTGGTCACAAGCACTCTCCAGCTCTCTCCCACAATTTCCTGGTATGATTCTATTTTTTTCCCCTGGCGCCACACGCATACACAGTTGCATGCGAGGAGAACACTCGTAAGTGGTGGGAAGGTGCCTGTACAAAATTCAGTTGATATATGCACAGTTCCCTAGGCCTGTTGGAAAGTATATATAAATCAGCAAACGTGGAAAAATTGTGGGTGGATCTTGTGCAAATTTTCCATGAGGCCTGGTGAATGTTCACAATGGCCAGTAGTTATGTACATTAACTGTTCTACATTCTCCTTAAGATATATCATATATACAGAAGCTTCATATGCATTCCACTTATACAATAGTCACAGATGTTGTTCATAAGAAATACCAGTCAATTATTTATATGTTTGACTAACACACTTAAACAGCTTTCCCTCCTTTAGAACTGTAGAGTTTGTGTACAAAATGATACTAAAATATACTAAAATATAACAAACTAAATATACTAAATATACTAAATATAAATATATACTAAAATATAACAAATCCATTATGAATAGGACAACTGAAGGGGGGGGAAACTTGCTGAATGACAAATACTGTTGAAAGGAATTTTAGATGAAAAATCCTCTACTGTGTATCATATCGTTGACACTGAGGGCTAAAAGGTCTCTCTATCAGCCATATATATTTCTAAGTTCCCAGAAGCCCTTTTGCAGAATCTCCTGTTTTTCTTTGAGCACTTAGGGCTGGATGAGGGGATAGCTGTCCACAGATTAGCAAAGCATTCCTATTTGAAGCTCCTTGGGTGTAGCATGAAATGAAAATGTTAGATTGTTGTTTGTTTGTTTGTTTACTATAATTTATTAAATTTATATACCACCCTTCATCTGAAGATCTCAGGGCTATCTCAGATGACGAAAAAGTTCCCTTAACCCATAACTGCCTCAGATATCAGTACAAACCTTTCTCAAATCCTCTCACCTGCCTGGGCTACATGGCAATTTAGTAAGCTCAACCTCAGTCACACAGACAACACCCATGAGTGTAGAGTGGGTCAAAGAGCTAATTACGACCTCCCCCTCCCCCAAATTCCTACTCAGCCCTAGCCTCTCCTGCATAGAGCGGTTGGGAGGACGCTCCAAAAAGAAGAGAAAGGGTTAAAAAGCCTGCTTCTCTTCCTTACACGATTGGCCCACACCTTCATGTGGGTGCCCCAAGCTCCTCCCCAGGGAGAGACCACCAGAGTCTCTTTTCCCAGGGAATGGGGGTGTGGCAAATTTGCCCCCACTTAAGTGTGGGAGCAGCATTTCCAATGGGTCCTGTAATAAATGTGCACTCCGCATATTCCCATCAGCTTTAGTTTTAATCATTGTCATTTCCTTTTGGCACCAAACCTCCCAAGGTCCTAGTGCTCCCTGCAAATAAATTCACTAATGCTCAGCTTGTTAGGATACGAGACCCCTCATTAACTCTGAGTATTAAATGAAACAGTTGAGTTAGTAACCAAATCGACAAAGAGCCAGCTGACTGTATGTATGATTAGGGACTTTGTCATTTCGCTCATGGATTAATTATATGGTCCATTATGCTGAACTGTGCGCTTGATTTCAAGATTAGTCTTTTCTTTCTTTCTTAGGATTTTTTATTTGCCATCTGGTGGAATGCACCTTATCTATTTTTTTCCTTCTTTAAATCTTCTTTAAATGAAGACCAAATTATATATTCCTAACCTTGCAGGTCACAGTTATCAGGTTAAGTATGGGGGGAATGAGGGGAGAGGACAAATTTTTGTTATATGTGTGTGTATATAGAAAAAATTCCACTGTGCTTTTTCACACACACAAACACACAATATTCCAGTACCTACACTGAACATTCAAAGCCTGCACCTATCAAATGATCTCCCCTCACCCCCATGAGCCAGTTTTGACAGGTGGGCAGGATTTGATACCTGAAAATCACCTGAGTCGTTACGACATCATAAGACTGAAAGTTGGATCCTGCCCAGGGCTGTCTTTACCTGGGGTGTGAGGGGTGCGGGGCACCTGGACGTCGAATTCTGGGGGGCGTCAGGCACCCACCGCTAAAGCCACCTCAGCGTATTGTATTGAGCTGCTATACAGCAGCGGGGGCAGCAGCACCTTTGGCACGACTGATCTCGTGCTGCCTGCCTGCTAATGCTGCTGCAGGGAGAGCTCTCTGGAAAGTCTGGCTCACCAAAGCCGGGAGGAGGGGGAGTGACAGGAAAGAGGGAGAGTCAGACAGAAAGAGAACGCACCTATCTAGCAACGGGAGTGCTTACAGGCTCCGGAAGAAGAACTCGTATATGTGCGCTCGCAAGGGCCCTCTCAGCTCCTCTAGAAATAAGGTTGCTCCCACAATGAAAGGCTGCCCAAGATGGCTTTCCCACGCATGCACACAATTCCCACCTGTCTCATCTTTTAGGCACGTCTGTATGACCATAAGTGCATGCGTGGAGTCTTTACACCGACTCCCAATGTGTTCTTTGTCTTCTTTAGAAAAGCTGGTTTTAAACAAAACACACACACAAAAGCCCTCCTTTTGGAGCTGTGCAGGCGTAAGCACTATTTATCAAATGATAATAGTGACATAAAGGTAAAGGTAAAGGGACACCTAACCATTAGGTCCAGTCGTGGCCGACTCTGGGGTTGCTGCGCTCATCTCACTTTATTGGCCGAGGGAGCCGGCGTAGAGCTTCTGGGTCATGTGGCCAGCAGGACTAAGCCGCTTCTGGCGAACCAGAGCAGCGCACGGAAACTCCGTTTACCTTCCCTCCGGAGCGGTACCTATTTATCTACTTGCACTTTGGCGTGCTTTCGAACTGATAGGTTGGCAGGAGCTGGGACCAAGCAACAGGAGCTCACCCCGTCATGGGGATTCGAACCACCGACCTTCTGATCGGCAAGTCCTAGGCTACAGCACCACCTGCATCCCTTATAGTGACATAAGGCATAATAAAAGTTAATTTGAGGGCTAAACTAAATTTGGGGGTGCTGGGCAGATCTTTGCACCCTGGGGGCACATATGCTAAAGACTACCCTGGTCCTGCCCACCTGTCAAAGTTGGCACACAGAGTGGATGGACCAAAAAGCTTTCCCACCACTGCTGTGCAGAAAAGGAGGTGTTACTCCATACGAGACTGTATTGTGGTTGGGGGGGGGCACTGGGCATCTTCCAGGTGTTAGGCCTCAGGCAGGGCAATCCCCATATGAGGAAGCCCAGGCTTCACCTGGGGATGAGGAGTTGGGTCCCTGTGATGTGGCTGAGGAAGGAAGATGAGAACCCCGAGTGAGTTCAGCCTCTGATCCTGAGACTGATTGGGTCCCCAGCTCAAGGGAAAGGCAGTGCCTTAAATGCACTGCCTGGTCCCTCCAAAGAACATGAAACTCCAGGCAAGGCCCTCCTAACAGAGAGACGTAGCTGTCGACTTACAGATTTGAAAATAAGGGATCAGAAGCCTCTAAAATAGGGGATCAGGGGGACTTCCGGGGTGGCGCCATCGGCAATGGCGGACTCCCTCTGAACTGGAGGGACTAGCTCCACGCGAAACGGGTCTTCTCCGCTACGGCGAAGCGGGGACCCTTTTAAAAATCACAGGCAGATGAAGCCTGTGACCATGGGACTCGGCGGGCACCTTTAGCGCCCCCCCAACCCGCAAAGGAACCCACTAACGGGCTCCGAAGTGAAGAGGGGGAAGTGGCGCGGTGCTGTGAGTCAACTGCTATTTCCGTGGAGCGAAGCCGCATAGCCGTTGCCGGAGAGCGCTGCCTTTTTTCCTGGGACAATTTGGATTCTAAAATAAGCACCCGTGAGTACTTAAACTTTGAACAACTGGACTTTAAATAAGGACTTGCGAGCAGAAAGGAATTGGACTTAAAAATTTATTTCAATTTGGTACTGAAACGGGAAGGTCTAAACAGGAAGTCAGCCTTCCGTTCTTTTGTAGACAGAATAAAGCAAAGACAACGTAAACTAGAGCTCAGAAAATTGCCTCTAAAGGATTGGATTTCATCATTTAAAATAGTGGAACCCCCCTTCGACAGCAGGAGAAGAAGGGGGATCTTTTTCGGACTGTTTAAACCTGCAGAAGTGAGTTTAAAGTAAAGTAACTTTCCACCGTCCTGATTCTGGAGCGGGGTGTCAGGACTGACGTTTGAAGCTCATTGACCAGAGACAAACGTTTTTGACAGATAGCTAAAAGAAGAGAAACATAGTGATTCCACTGTTTCCTTTCGCAGTTTAAAGGAACAAATATTGACAAAATATCCCAAAAAGGGAAACTTTGCTGCAAGAACAAATAGAAGTTTTCCCCCTAGAGGGAGACTGTGAAACTGTAACTAATTCCAGGGAGCCGGCAGCTGTTACAGATTACAATCGTGGGAATAGACATTTGACCTTGCAGGACAATGTATTCAGAAGCTCTGTTGTGTGCTTTCTATAAAACAAATGCCCTACTGGAACAGTTACATGAGAAGATGAATTTGATGGCGAATTCGACTAGAAATTTTGAACAGATTGGATTTGTTTTTATTTCTCTTTTTTACTATTAGGACTGTTTTATAAAATTGATGAATGTTAGAAAAATGTTGGAATGAAATTACTCGGCTTTAGTAAAAATGTTTAAAGAATTATGAAAGAATATTATGGTTACGAGAAGTTGGTAAGAATAAGATTTAAGTTTTAAGTTTCAAGGTTTTTTTTATAGAAAGATAAGATTAAAGTAGTTTAAGGTAATGTAATGACAGAATATTATGAAATATGGAAAGGATTTGCTGTGATAATTAACAACTAGGATACAAAAAAAGGGAGGAGGAGGAGGTCAAAGAAAGAAGGTAATGACAGTTGAGGATTTGAGAATAATGGATTTGTTTTTAAATGTTTTTAAATGTTTGTGGTGTATTTTTGTTTTTTTCTGTTCTTTCTTATTTTGAATTTGTATTCGTATTGTTGGAAGTGGTTTGTTTTTCTCTTTTTCTACTTTGTTTTTTTTGTAACTTAAAATTTTTTTTCCCCCAATAAATATCATTTTTTTTAAAAAATAATAAATAAAATAGGGGATCAGGAGCCAAAATAAGGGATCAGCAGCCTCACCTGTCCCAGGCACTCCTGTCTTCCACTGCCTCCCGCAGTTTGGTTAAACTCATGCTGGTAGCTTCGAAAACACTGTCCAACCATCTCGTCCTCTGTCGTCCCCTTCTCCTTGTGCCCTCAATCTTTCCCAGGGAGTCTTTGTAACCAGAGGTTCAACTGAATAGAATCTGAATCACATCCACCACAAGGCCTATGCAGCCTCAACTTAAGATGGCTCCCCGGCCTGGCTTTGCACTGCAAAGTTTGCAGCAGCACGTGCAACAAAACGGCACCCAGCGTTCAATAACACCCTCAGCTTGCATTAATTAGCCACACACACACACAAGGTGGTGGCAGCCTCCCCCCTTGCCACGAGATCACCGCCCACCATTTTAGTCAACCAGCTCCTTTCCTTTTCCCCATAACAGTCAATCGAAGGAGCCTCCAAAACAAATCCAAAAGCTACGAGATCGCCGCCCTGGAATGAGTCAATATATGATCCTGGCTAGTGAGCGGGAGGCAGGAAACACATGAATTTCTGTCAGGTTTTTCTGTGAAAAGCAGAGTCCAAAAGGCATCTTATCTACAACAGCATAAGATAAAGACCCATGGTAGATAGCCTGACTATTCTCCATGAGCCAACAAATGAACATAAGAAGAGTCGTTTTGGATCAGGCCAAAAGTCCATCCAGTCTAGCCCTCCGTTCTCACCATGGCCAGTCAAATGCCCATGGGAATACTATTAGCAGAACTTGAGCACAAGAGCACACACAACCCTTGTGATTCACAGCAGCTGGTATTCAGCAGCCTCTGACAACTGAGGTAGAACATAGCCATCCTGCAGGGGCACCAACTTGGCCCCTGTTTGTGTGCACCCAGAGGTTCCATCTGTTTTTACATATGGATGCATATTGAAAAGGTAAAAGTACCCCTGCCCGTACGGGCCAGTCTTGCCAGACTCTAGGGTTGTGCGCTCATCTCACTCTATAGGCCAGGAGCCAGCGCTGTCCACAGACACTTCCGGGTCACGTGGCCAGCGTGACAAGCTGCATCTGGCGAGCCAGCGCAGCACACGGAACGCCGTTTACCTTCCCGCTGGTAAGCGGTTCCTATTTATCTACTTGCACCCGGGGGTGCTTTCGAACTGCTAGGTTGGCAGGCGCTGGGACCGAACGACGGGAGCGCACCCTGCCGCGGGGATTCGAACCGCTGACCATGCGATCGGCAAGTCCTAGGCGCTGAGGTTTTACCCACAGCGCCACCCGCGTCCCTTGAAAATTGAAAATATTGAAAAGATCAGACTAATTAAAGAACATATATTTTCATTCCCAACAAACTGTGCAACAGGAAGGGGCAATCGAATCATCCTTATATGTTGGTATGGGGCAGTGAAACAGCAATAAATGGTCTAAAAACACTTGAGAAATAAATCTGCAGACTTTTCGTAAGAAAAAATAGCAGGAAATTGTTAATCCTGAAGCCCACTGTTTTTAGCTATAATTGATTTTGACAACAGGAAATAGCCTGCCCTGTACATCATGAAGTTTGCTGCGCATACAAAGAACCCATTTGGAGGCTATTTGTGTTCATCTCGTTAATTCTCTTTCTGCCTGTTAACTTCTAAGTAACGCTTTCAAGAAAGGGTTGAAGAGTCAGGCAAGAGAATGCATAAATTCAATAGAGTCTGAAAACCGACAGGGAAAAAAATTAATTGTGTGGTTGTAAGAGAGGCACCGAAAACGTAGTTTTGTGATGCAGATAATGGTCAAGGGTGTTCCAGGCAAGAAACACCACCCCTCTTCCACGATGTTGAAGACAATAAATGAATAACTCTGCACTTCTTGAAGAGCAAGGAAAAGAACTAATGGTGCTTGAGGAATTAGATCTTTGTGAATTCCTATACTTAGGCTGCAATTCAAAGGGATGTGAGAACTCAGTGCAGATGAAGTCCCTGTCCCCTTGCCCTGCTGGGTATAATAGCTGCAATTATATTGGGGGGTGGGAATTTTTTTTCAGTCTGAGGGTGGCATTCCTTCATGGGTAACTTTGCAGGGGTTGGTTGCCAGTGGTGGACGGGGTAAAGTTGATAGTGCAAATAAGCTACAAATCAAGGCAGATGTATTAAATAGCTTAGTTAATACGGCTTTGTGATGACTGTGATAATTGCAAAAGCCAATCAAAGTAATGTTAATTGGTATTTTTTTTATTTCATTGATTTGTATTATATCTGTATAAGTATTTTGGTAGAATTGTGAAGTATCTGTATAATGTTGTTTGAAAATATAATGAGTGTGTGAGTGAGTGAGTGAGTGAGTGTGGTGTAGTGGTTAAGAGCGGTAGACTCGTAATCTGGGGAACCGGGTTCGCGTCTCCGCTCCTCCACATGCAGCTGCTGGGTGACCTTGAGCTGGTCACAGTTCTCTGAAGTCTCTCAGCCTCACTCACCTCACAGAGTGTTTGTTGTGGGGGAGGAAGGGAAAGGAGAATGTTAGCCGCTTTGAGACTCCTTCGGGTAATGATAAAGCGGGATATCAAATCCAAACTCTTCTTCTTCTTCTTCTTCTAAAGAAATAGAAACAATAGGAGACCAGGAGGAGAGGTTTTTAAAAGTAGTGTTTCCTAAGAGTTGTCTCTCTCCCCCCCCCCCCACATACTCATGTTTTATTTCACTAATAAGACACTTCCACACAAATTAGATCTGGCCCATAATTAAGTTCTTTGCCCCCTCCATCCAAGCATCTCCTAAACCTCTAATTATGGCATAGAAATTAGTAACTAGCAACATAAATCTTCACTGATGCTTGCATAAAAATGGCAAATCACTGCAATGAATCCTTTATTGGAGACATTCAATATATTAGATGTTTATTTGACTTGGATTTTTAAATGCAGCTTTTGTTCATTTTATTTTGAATCTCTGGTAATCACCAGAAGAAATTTTCCCCAGTCTTTATATTATAAAATCACTGAAGTAAAATGTTCTGTGTAAATAAATGTGTGAACTGATGAATCTAAGTTTGTGCAGGTGCAATGCCTACCTGTGGTACATACATGAGCTCAGTAGTGGATAGCCCCTACCTCCTGTTGTTGTTGTTGTTGTTGTTGTTGTTTTAAATACTCTTTATTAATTTTGCACATAGTTTAGAAAACAACAAAACACAATAGGGGAGATATGGTGAATCACATTTTTATGGTCAGTAGGTCAGTAAATAATGTAAATAGCCAGTGTACCTTATTCTTCACAGAAGCAATACAAACATAGGAAATCAGCTAGAAAGAAGGGAAAGCAAGGAAACGTTAAAAAGAAATCAACATAGCTTTACAAAAATCACAACATTTTCACACATTCCATATATCTGCTGAGGTTGGCTGCTGTGCCCTATTAGTATATTAAATAAGAGCTCTCCAAACTGCCCAATTATTAAAATGTTATTAAATCAACAGGGTTTAAGAATGGGTTGGCATGTGTGGGTAGCCTTGTTGAAACTTAAAGGTCTTTTGTGATTAATACACAACAACAACAACATTGTCCTGTGAGGGACAGGAAATGTATAGCCCTCTCTTTTCTCTAAACCATCTATTTCCAGTGAAACTCTTTTTTTAAAAAAGTTTTGCTTTTCACGTTCCTCTTTTAAGCCTCCCTGATATCTGTCAGGTTCAATATTGTAGGTTGAGGCTCATGTATTCACAGGGGGACTTGATGTGCTAATGCCTGTAAAATGCAATGTGAACTCACTTACTAACAACCACCCAAGGCATCCAGTGGAGATTTTGGGTTTTATTAAAAAAAATAATGAAATAATCTCCTGTGTGATGCTTCTCAGTGGGCAGAAGATAAGATAAGAGCACATACAGAGAGACTAGTAGGCTCCCTGGGGCTTCAGCCTCTGAGTGTCTTTATGATAGATGAATTGTGGCTGCCCAATGAGCTTGAATATCAGTAATCCTGCCCTGTGAAACAGTTTGCTGTTGGCCGTGTTGTTCTGAAATAATAGCAATTACACTTATTCAGCATTTGAACTATGAAAGGTAAAGTGGGAGGACTTTAATGAAACCCATGGGACCCATCTACTACTGCTGCTTCCCTTCTATTTCAGCTAAATTATGCCCCTGCCCCTGCTGCTGCCCCTGCCCCTGCTGGTAGCCTTCCAAAAAATAACAGCTAAAACCAGGATTGGCACATCTCGTT